GTTTAGGTCTGGACTTTGACTGGGCCATTCTAACACATGAATATTCTTTTTTTTAAACCACTCCATTGTAGCTTTGGCTTTATGTTTAGGGTCGTTGTCCTGCTGGAAGGTGAACCTCCGCCCCAGTCTCAAATCTTTTGCTGACTCCAACAGGTTTTCTTCCAAGATTGCCCTGTATTTGGCTCCATCCATCTTCCCATCAACTTTGACCAACTTCCCGGTCCCTGCTGAAGAGAAGCACCCCCAGAGCATGATGCTGCCACCACCATATTTGACAGTGGGGATGGTGTTTTCAGAGTGATGTGCAGTGTTCTTTCTCCGCCACACATAGCGTTTTGCATTGTGGCCAAAAAGTTCAATTTTGGTCTCGTCTGACCAAAGCACCTTCTTCCACATGTTTGCTGTGTCCTCAACATGGCTTCTGGCAAACTGCAAACGGGACTTCTTATGGTTTTCTTTTAACAATGGCTTTCTCCTTGCCACTCTTCCATAAAGACCACATTTGTGTAGTGCACGACTAATTGTTGTCCTGTGGACAGTTTCCCCCACCTGAGCTGTGGCTCTCTGCATTTCATCCAGCGTCACCATGGGCCTCTTGGCTGCCTCTCTGATCAGTGATCTCCTTGTTCGGCCTGTAAGTTTAGGTGGACGGCCTTGTCTTGGCAGGTTTACTGTGGTGCCATACTCTTTCCATTTCCGGATGATGGATTGAACAGTGCTCCGTGAGATGTTCAAAGCTTGGGAAATCTTTTTATAACCTAAGCCTGCTTTAAACTTCTCCAAAACCATATTCCTAACCTGTCTGGTGTGTTCTTTGGACTTCATGATGCTGTTTGCTCCCCAATATTCTCTTAACCAACATCTGAGGCCGTCACGGAGCAGCTGTATTTGTACTGAGATTAGATTACACACAGGTGGACCCTTTTGAGTCATTAGCAGTCATCAGGCAACTTCTGAATGCAATTGGTTGCACTCAGGGAAAAGGGGGCTGAATACTTTTGCACGTCGCACTTTTCAGTTTTTTATTTGTAAAAAATGTTTTGATTCATGTAAAATTTTGCTTCCACTTCACAATTGTATACCACTTTGTGTTGGTCTTTCACATTAAATTCCAGTGAAATATATTTATGTTTGTGGTTGTAATGTGACAAAATATGGAAAAATTCAAGGGGTATGAATACTTTTGCAAACCACTGTATTAAACAAAATGTTCACAACAGAAATAAAGTAAACTGAGCTGATTTTTTTTTGTGTGTGTGGTAATATTTTAGAAAAATTAGAATAGAAAAACTGCAGTAAAGCCTTTTCAATTATAAAAGGCACCAGAAAAGGCTTAATTAGTCCTGGCACACACCACAAAAGACAGGCTCATCTTCAAAAGGTCTAATTACTGATGTAAATCCAGATGAGTTGTTCATCTTACCTCTTTTAGTTTAACAAAAATAAAGTTCAGTGTTTTTCGTTGTCGCATCATATTGGGCTTGCTTCTTAAATCGCGCCATATATTCTCACCAGACGCTTTTGAACAAATTTTGTCCCCTGATTAAGAAGCAGTGTCTTTCAGCTGCATGAGTTAATTGGAACACCAGAGTGCTAATCAAAGCTGGATGACGCTGCCTCTCAGGCACAGCTACAGATGGCCGGCTCCATGCTTCTTACAAAGCCTGCAGATCACTTCATTGTGGGCTATTTTTAGTGTGGTGGGAATATAAAAGACTGAATTTGGATGACAACCTTTTGGTTATAAATTAATGTGACTTAGTGACTTTTGCAAATGTAAGAATGACTGAAGAGCACTTTTGAGTGGATCTTTGCAGTGACATAGATTGTAATTGTTTCTGTTCACTTCCATGTCAGTAATACCTGCTGTCAGTTTTGCTTGTCTGCCCTGCGTGTCTATGGTGTATTAAGAACCGTGGCTGTAAGAAAACGTCACGTCACTTTATGGTTCTGATATAGCAGCACGTAGCATTATCTCCTACCACACCAGGCTGCTACAGATTTATCAGCCATGTTTGTACATTTTGTGGCAAGAAGGCAGTAACTTTGAAGGGTCACATGAACCTCACGTAAGTGTCTTTATAATGAGATAATTTCTGCCCCTCACACTGTGACTGCTGGATATGGGCACCAGTGACCCACGTGAACCTAGATAAGGAATAAACGGGTATAGATAATGGATGGATGGATGTTGCAGTAACCCAGCATTCCATTACATAATCTCGTGCTATGCTATGCTAACAATAGCTGTTGTGTACATTGTCTACTTGATTGGAGTCATACCTTTACTCTTTTTGGATGCTGATTATTTTTAATGCCCAATGAGAACATTTAGAATGGGTCAGCTACTAAATATTACTAAATATTACAGAAGGCATTATTCTGGCAGTGCAAAATTTGGATCTTCTTCAACGATGACCAGTACACCGTTCTTAGTTTGAATGTTTATTGGAAATATTTCTTTGCAAATACAGTATATTGAACAAAGCTGAAGAAGCATGAGTGCATTCAGCTCTTACAATCAATCATTCCACCATGATTACAACAGTAAAACACAACCACATCCTTTAGCGACGCTTCAAAATAAAAGCTCTTCCAGTGAATTTCTACTAATGCACAGTATTTTTTTTGTAATATCAGTTTTTATCTTCATTTTAACAGTTATTTATATGAACTAACTTATTATGTATGAAATGCATCTGTCTAAATAATTCTTCTTAACATTCGACATTTCACAACAAGCAGCAGCTCATGCAACTTATTTTGTTTGAAATAAAAATCTTCGACATGTACAGTGAGTGTTTCTCTCAACAACTCTCTAAACGTTTAAACCTTATAAATACAGCATACACAACCACAGCGTGAGCTTCTTTTATACCCACCTGTGAACATTAAACACTTGTCATATATGTCACAAGACTTGACATTTCTCAAAATGTGCTTCATATTTGGACCCACGTAGCTGGTGTTTCTGCAGCTGCCTGCATATGTGGTAAAATAAGAAACAGCGGGACAAAGCCGTAGTCAGAACAATTAAACTTTTATGACATGATCTTTGTTTTAAGCCAAACTAATTTAGTGTTTTCATAATCTAATTAACACATTAGTGCAGAGGGCTTCAACCCTGTTTTTGTGGCCCACTGTCCTGCATGTTGTAGATGCTTCAACACACCCGACTGAAATGAATGAATTATTTGACAGACTTCTGCTAAATTGGATGATATTCTGATCATTTATTTGAATCAGGTGTGTTGAAGCAGGGAAACTACTAAAACATGCAGGACAGTGGGTCACGAAGAATAGGGTAGAAGACCTGCTTTAGTCCACTAACAATATTTGACAATTATTTTTAGTTTAACATTTGGAAAAAAAAATATTTTTCAGAGCTATAACATTTTATCCCCCCATAATGCATCCATCTATTCAATATCTTTAACCACTTCTTCATTTGTGGGCTGCCTGCATCATTGGTGCCCATATCCAGCAGTCACTGTGCGAGGGGCAGGGTACACCCTGGACGGGTCAGAAAGTCCATCACAGAGCCACACAGAGACAAATGACCATTCACTCTCACACATACAACTAGGGACAATTTAGACTTGCCACTTTCCCTAACAGTCATGTTTTTGGTCTGAGGGAGGAAACTGGAGTACCCGGAGAAAGCCCACGCATACACAGAGAGAACATTACAAACTCTACCCAGAAAGATCCCCTGCCAGGATTTGACCCAGCAATATTCCTTCTGAGAGGCAACAGCACTACCAACTGTGCCTCTGTGCCACCTATCCCATAATGCCACTCATATTTTATCTATCTTTATATTTTTTAGTATCAGACATTCTTATAGCGTAAATAGATGCTTTACCCACTGATATTAATAACTTAAAAGCTTGAGACGTGGTACACTGAAGCTGGGAGAATTGGTAATATTCAGTGTAAGTGGTCATAATATATTAGGTCATTGATGTTCATGTGTTGCGTGCCTAAATGAGGTTTCTACTTTTTGTAAAACCTCTTTTCTCACTTAATTAAATTTTACCACACCATTACTCGTCTTATTCTACACATGGCAGGGTCACCATTATTGGATCTCCATCTCTTTGTGTATAAAAGTGATTTTTATTGTTGTTAAATTATCGTCCCTCGTAGATACCCAAATGTTCGCACAGTTTTAATGGACTCTGCAACGTTTGTACTTCAGTGGCACTCTTCCATTAGCATCACATTACAGTGCATTTTTGTTTTAATAACGATGGAGTAACAGTCTCACTCTGTAATGCAGAAAAAAGTATTTTCCACAAATTGAATGTAGGGTGTAGAAATATTACTTCTAAGCCATTATATCAGACTCTGAACCAAACGTTGGAGGTGAAGTGGCTCAGATAGAATCGAGGTACGATTGGCTGTTCAATCCCTGAGCACGCCACGTGTGGAAAAACAATGAAGCCCTCCAGGCAGTTTCTAAAGGCATTTTAAGCACCTTTCATGCTAGCTTTACCTTTTATTTGTTTGTGAGCTAAAGAGAATTCCTTGAAGTGCTGCTGGAACCTACCTGAGAATAAAATGGTGCTCTCTAAACGCCCCATTTACCTCCTGCATTTATTCTTTTGGAGACGTGTTCCGCCAGTAAGAAAGAAACACATTTACTTTACATTTGAATCACTCAAAGATTCAACAAGGTTTTTACCCTCACTTTTGAGATTAGTCGAGTATGCACACCTCGCATTTTCCAAATGTGTTTTTTTTCCTTCAATCCTCACAATACTGGATTCTAGTGAGATTGTGGTCTGTTTGTAAATTAGAATCCTGAAACTAAGGATTTGTTCTGGAAAGGAACTGGTTCATCTTTGGGAGAAAAAAGCTTGTCTGAAAACAAGACTGAACTCTTGTGTACTGTATGAGGGGCCGTGAGAAGTTGAATTGGATACTTCATTAGATTACATGAAAGCTGAAATGTACCCTAGCTTTTTTTCAAAGAGGTATTTTCTGTGTGTTTAAAGGAGTATGCAGAGTTCCAGTACAGACGGAGACATCGGCAGCGCAGACGAGGGGACATGTCCAGCGTCCGAAGCAACACACCCGACCCCGATGATCTCAGTGATTCTGCTTTAGGTACTGAAGTGGTTTGAGTTCAGTTTTAAAAAACGCCTTCAGAACTTGACAAGCTGCTTCTGTGGATTTTAGTCTATGTAACCAGTTGGAGGCTTTTTTATTAACTACATACCTCACCACTGTATAAAGCACATAAAGAAGCGACAAGGCCAACCATTGTGTGCCGTACAATTAAAAACAATCTGATTGACAAGTTTTTCTGTACCCTAGCTGTAGGTTCTCATGTTGCAGAATGTCGGACTAATCACATTTACCTTGATGGTTTTTTACCAAAAAAAAAAGACCATTATCTGTATTTATATAATTTAAATGGAGTCAAAATGAAGACTCAGACACCAAAAATTACATCAGCTCTACTTCGTAAAGCCCATACTTGTAATCAGTCAGTGCCCATTTGATTTGTCTTGGCTGGGTGTAGAGTTGATGTGTAGTTTGGAAGCCAGTAAAGAGGCTCTGCTTTGCCAAGAATCATTTATTCATTTCAGTTAAATACACTAAATGAGTACATTTTCTGGGTAAATTCTGAAGGTCCACATCCTGCCAGGTGGCTGTGACAGTGTGCAGCAAACTGAGAATAATTTCACCACAGGTGGTAATTAGCAGTAGATTAAATTGCTATTGAATGGCGACAGTAGAGTCATCTTAATGATGGTAATTTAGACTCTAGTATATTTATTTCTGTTCTTTCTGTCCATTCCCCCCCCCCCCCCCCCCCCCCCCCCCCCCCCCCCCCCCCCCCCCCCCCCCCCCCCCTCTCCCCCCCCCCCCCCCTCAAAAAGACGCGCAGGATTCTGGAGGTGGACGCAGACCAGGCCCTTTGATGGTGAGTTCTCAGTTTCGTTCATCTAAGCTCAAGGCTTTCAGTGCTTATAAAGTCTTTAAGTTGAACAAACTTAATTTTACACCTTATGGCGTCTTTCTTTATCACAGTGATGTTGGGCATTTTAGATCATTGTGCCATTTCTACAAAGAATAGCATCATCTAATTTAAAGCTATAATAGCTGTCAAAATATGCATTTTTAAATGTAATATTTTTATGCTTTTAACGCAGTTTCTGCACAGTTATATTATTGGGGGTTAATGTAACTCAAACTCATCAGGATTATTGTAAAACTGTTAGAAAACATCAAATATTACCCACCTTTGTTTTCAGCTAAATTTGACAATCAGTAGTTTGGAATATTGGCATGTGTCATTTGCATAAAACTCCAGAGCCAACATTTGCTTTGAGACTTTCCACCCCTCCTTCTTACATTTTCACTTTGACCTGGCGCCTCTCTGACTTTGTTTACATTCAGGGATTATTTTACAAACTCAGTAGTCATCCCGTGCCCAGATTTTCAGAGGTGAACTTGTCAGTGTCTGCATGTACAAATACCTGCAATTGTTGGCAACAAAACCCGGACTTTGTGGGTGTCATAGCCCTGTGGGTTGGGTGGTCGTCCTACAATCAGGAAGTTGGGGGTTAAATCAGTAAGATCTTGCCGTAAGAAATATACACGAGCTACACGCCACATGGTATGGTACAGTAAATGGTTAGAATGCAGAGATGCTGCAATCTGCACAGGTTACGTGTCACGTACTTGATTTATTTTTTATGAAACTGAATTTTGTCAGTTTAGTGACAAACTTTGGGTAGTAATTGATGCATTTTAGTAGTTATTTTTGTTCATATTTAAAAATGATGTATGTTGACAGCTTTTATGGTTTAAGGATAATAGTGGAGTGCTTTTGAGGATCTTTGGTTTTGTTGGGATTTTTTTTTTTTTTTGGGTAGTGTACAATTATCGAATAGCTTGTAAAGTAGAAATATACACTGTGAGGTCAAACACATTGTGTTTTTAGGTGCTAATAACTAATGTATATCAGTACTACCATCAGGTTTGTGGTCTGTTCTTAGTGTAGCTCACGTTGTTGATATTTTTTACCTCAATTATTCTTCAGGGTCTTGATTCCCTGGATGAGGATGACCCCAACATTTTACTGGCTATCCAGCTGTCACTCCAAGACTCAAGGATGGCAGGGAGTGGGTCCAACCAAGATATCCTCGCCAACGAAGCTTCACTCGGTGCTATTGGCACCTCCTTGCCTTCTAGGCTGGAGCAGAGCGCTCCAGGTGTTGAAGTCCCACCCAGAGCTTCCTTCAGCAGCTCAGAGCTGCTGGAGCTCGGAGATAACTCGGCGAGACTCGGCACCGTCTGCAGCCAGTACTCTGCCGCTGCGGGCGGGTCCATCTCCGCGCAGCACTGCGACGCTCATCACCGGGCGTCCATGCCTGGAGGCCGTAACTCTTCCACGGGCCTCTTCTCCTCTTCCACAGACACAACCGACTCCATCAGCCACGACCCGTCTTTGTCCTCTGCACTGCCCACAAACGCCAACCTGCTCGGCAACATCATGGCTTGGTTTCACGACGTGAATCCTCAAGGCATCACCCTGGTCCCCCCAATGTCCTCCGACACAGATTCAAACCTGAGTCCAGACCTTGCGGGCAGAGATTACCTCCCAGATGACGACAGGAAACCTCAGGAAACGACAGCAGACATGAGCCTCTGCTCTCAGAGGCCGGGCGACGTGGAGGAGAGAGAGTGCGCCGTTGCAGAGAGGCCGACTCAGTTAGATCTGGTGGGGCTAGACGCCATGCCGCTACCTTACATGGCAGCCATCGACGCCGAGCTCGCAGAGGGCACGGGCTCAAAGAGCCGCCACGTTGACACTCCGAGATGTGACTCCGGGTCCGACCAGCTGCCCAGCACCAGCTCCTCAGAGTGGGAGGAACACGTGCACCTGGTATGACCTGCTCACCTGAGACTGGGGGGCTTCAAACCACTACAAAGTTGAAGTAAGCTACTCTAGTGGAATGTAGTCAGAATGAAAAGTCAGTCACACCCAGCTGGTAAAGCTGGGAAGAAGGATTAAATTCTTTAGTTTCAGTGCAATCAGATCACTTCCTCCTTTTTTTTTTTCTGCTACTGTAAGTATGCTTATCTCCTGCAATCAAAACACTAATAAGATCACAATTACCATTTCCTGGGAGGTGTTTCCTGTGATGAACGTTGTTCTGATAAAGATAAGTAGCCTTCTCTAGAATCAAGTTTAGTAGAAATGAAATCTGTGGAACTTTTTAGCTACGCGATTTTATTTTTTCCTCCACTGTTTTAAAATCTACTGTATCGTTCCGCACCAGGTGAGCAGATAAAGATTTTACTTCAGTATTTAAACAGTTTCTACACAGGCTGAGTCCGTTCTCAGTCTGCTCATATCTGCCTAATTTCTAGGTGCCAAACACTGACTAACAAAAAAAGCACAGTTTGCAATCACCAAGTGGATTCTTTAAAGCAAATTGTGCCTGCTTCTCACAGTCTCAGCGAGCCTAAATGTGAACTCCTCGAGCCATATTTCTATTTAAGACGGTGGCTCGGATATTTTTCAAGATCCACTCGCTAAAAAGTTGTGTGCCGTGTAAAGATGTACAAAACAGAACCACGACGGTTGTGTAACTTTATGTGAAGCCCTGGCATTAGGAAAAAAACAAAGATTATTGTTGAAGTGAGGAAAAAAAAAAGCATGTGGCCCGGATTTCAAAATGGACGTGTTCATCTCAAAGCCCCGGTTTGGATGGGAGGGGGTGGGGTGGGGAGNGGTGGGTGCTGAGAGCTTCAAAACCGGCAAACGCTGACAGGCCCAGAGGGGCTGCGCAGTGTGATGCAGCGCACACGGTCGGATCAGCTCACTTTGAAACGAGTCGTGGCTCTTCTTAAAGTTTGAGCTGTGCTAAAAAGATGTCTTGTTTTTATACCACAGGGACGGACGGTCGATAAGATAACCACACCGTCACCTCTAGACTTTGATGCATTAATTATTACAGCTCAGTTCAGTGTAGGAGTTTAAATAAAAAAAAAAAACAGTTTTTCTTGGTTGATCTTTTCAGACGCCCCCGACTGCACGTCAGTGGATGGAGAATTCATGAATGTGTACATGGGGAGTCCATGTTTTGTTGTGTGTTTTTTTGTTTTGAAGCAGCTCTCTACTGGAGGTGAAAATTCAGTGCCTTTGTGTGTCTGTCATCATAAATCAAATATTGTTTTTCATATATTTCTGAGTGCTATTTACACAGGAACAAAACCACTTGTTACCTTAAAGCGATTCCTCTCACGGAAGGTTTCTAGTGTGCAGACGCAAAGCTCTCGATTTCATCATTTCATCTGAATCTCTGTAGCATGAAACTTACAGTTGGTTCCAGGACTATGATGCTAAAGGACTGAACGGATGGTTTCAACGCTCGATGTCTTCATTTCAAATATTCTGAAGAAAGGTTCTGTTTTTTTCCTTCCCTTTCTGACCTACATTTATAAACAAAAAAAAAATCACTGTAGGAGGAGGTGACGTATGTTTGCTTTGTGTCTCTGAAGACACTAAAATTGAGGAAAGTTGCAATATAAAGCTGGTATTTAACACATTTGTAGTAATGAATAACTCGGATGATGTGAAACACCGTGATCATTTTTACCTGAAAGACTCAATTCTGTTTTTGTACAGAATAATGTTTGAGTCAAGTTTTTTTTTTTTATTAGTTGAGCAACATTAACTCTGAGATCAGTTGTTTTGAACGGAGGCTTGAAGTGGTGGAACTGTGAGTGCCATAAGAATAGACGTGTTAATCAGAGGAGGTCTAACAGTGGGTACAGGACACAATATTTCTACTTTGTATTTCACCTGTAATGTCTAGGGGACTTATTTAAAAAGAAAATGCATAAATTTTTGTAACTCATTAAGATTTTCTATTGTAAAGCAACTAATTCTTGAAATGCTATTTGCACTTTCATAGTCTATACTTGATACATTCCCTCTTTATATGAAAGAAAAAAAAAGGTTTGTTGTGTGACGCCAATAAACGTGTTGAGTTTTACTGTGTGATTATTGAGTCGTGATGTTTCGCCTGGTGAAAGATTCAAGCTGTAATTAGAAAATGTTTAGTGTCTGTGAGTCTTCAATTATGAGACCAATTAGAAAAAGCAACAAATTTTATTTTAGCACAAGGATTTAAGCTTTTTTTATGTGGTACAAATTAACATCTCTGTAGCATCCTAACAGGGAGCTCAGACACTGTGTACAAAATAGTGCATAGAAATTATATTCCACAACCTGCATAGCTTCATCTTTAGTACATTGCAGAAACACAAGTGCATTTAACACAACAACAAATAAAATAAAAACACTTTGATGACTAGAAAAACATTGACTTGCAAGAAATAACTGATACATCTGTAGTGTTATCAGGTAGTTTCCAGAGCATCCAACCCTTTTTTTTTCTTTTTTTTCTTATTCCACCATTTTAACTAACTAACTAACTAACTAACTAACTAACTAACTAATTATCTCAGAGTACAGTTTAGAGTTTCTACAGTAGCTTGGAAAGGACAAACAAAAGGCTAGCATGATCAAAAAACATTTGTGTTGTAACGACAACCTGGCGTCTGGCATTGTTGCTATGATAAATGATATTTCCTAAATTTACTTGAAAAACTGTTGCATTTGGTGGGGGTGGGTAGGGCTGGTGGAATGAGTTTTAAGTTGGATGCAATAACGAACCTCAACCTCTAGCTGTCGCTGGATATTACACACTGTTCCTTTAAAGGCACAGTGTGTAGGATTTTGTCAATTATTTTAGCCGAAAATGAGATAATCACTAATGACAATAATAAAAAAACATGTCTAATCATTGCAGACAAAGACCTTGTTTTATTATTTTTACCTTATAAAAAGCTGTTTATATCTCCATGGTCGAGGGTCGCCACTACAGGCAGCCGCCATCTTGCACCGCCATCTTGTCTACGAAGGCTCATGAAGGACAAACTGCGGTGGCGGCGTCAAAAACGGTTTTAGTTGTAATACTATAAATGTATTATTTGTTGTCTGTCATTGTAGCTGGGATAATTTTACTTATTAAAGCTCATAATCTTACCACTTGAAACATCACTAGCCCTGAAGCTGCTGGTAGGCATCGCGGTTGGAATTATCAAAGGTTTTTGACACCTGAGAGACACCGTAGCACCTCCTTTGTGTTTGGAAGCGGGGGGTGGGGGTGGGGGGAGGACCAGGGAGGATGATTCAACCACTCAACCACTAGATGTCGCTGAAAACAACAAATCCTACACACTGCCTTTAAGTAAGATAAAGTATTTGTACTTCATTACTTCTGTTCGTAGCATGGTTTGAAAGGGGGGTCTCCGACCAGACGCTAATGCTGTTTGGGGGCCATGGCATGGAAAAGTTTGGGAAGCCCTGTATTGTACAGCAGACACTTCAGAGGCTGATAAGGAGGGCGGAGGTCACCGTGTGGGTATGCCTGGGCATGTGGGGTGCACACATGTTGACTCGATCCCTCCTGAAACGACACCCTCGTTCAGTTTTTCAGCAATCCAACACGTATGTCTGGACTTTTTGTTCAGCGGGTCTGCAGCTTTTTCTTTACTTAAGATCGGTTTGGGTGTCAACTCAGCTGAGCTGCTGGATCTCGAGGGACAGTTCTGGACTGAACTGCCACTGAAGTGAATACAACAGCTTTATGATTCCAACCCTAATCGCCTCGTGGGTCCCGGCCCAACAGGGAGCCTCAGCTTTCTGACACGGGGTCAGCAGCATCTGATAGTTTAATCATTGCAGTTTGGAAAACTAATAGTTGTTAATCACTACATAATAGGAACAGTTTAAAATCAATAACACAATTCTTTATGTATGTAAAATGGTTGATCAGAAAGCTGGTGGAGGTTCAGGATCAGCGGCAGAGACCGATGCATTGCAGGATGAAGAGGAACAAGGTGGTGATGTCCAGGTACAGGTTGAGCGTTGCAAACACGTACTCCTCGGGAGAGATTTCGTAATTCCTGTGTTTCCCCCCCAGGATGAGATGAGTGTCGAACACCAGGTACTGCAGAGACACAGACGAGGAGCTGTAACACAGATGTCTGAAGATGGCACGTTTGCGCGATAAAAGAGACCGAAGCCACTGCAGGAACGAGTCTGGTTTGTTCTAAGAGACACGGTTGTGCGTATAAACAACACAGCTTTTAAATAATTGGGTAGTCAAGAGTCGTGCGGGTGAAAATAAGTTGTGACACGCTGCTGACAGCCAGTTCAGCTCTGCGTGCCGCCGCCGTTTGTTCCACCAGCTGATGGGATGGGTCACAACATTTGCTGTTGATGCCAAAATCACTTAGGAGAGGTGGCTGTGAAAATGAAGCCCACCGCTGCTACGGAGAGCATAATTGAAATTAAAGGGCACGAGGACATCAGAGCTACACTAAAGACTGTGACAAACACTGGTGGCGGGGCTGCATGGCCCCGGGATCAAAGCGTGTTCATTCAGCTGACATTAAGCCGTCTTTGATGTGGCTTGCTTTCTTTCTTCTTTTTTTTCCCCCTCAAAGGTCATTTGTTTTTGATTTTAATGCGGTGTGTTATACAGACATCCATTTGCTGTTGTGAGAGTTGAGCCCACTTACCAAGGAGAACAGCAGGGTTCCCAGGAAGGAGAAAAAGATGTAAATATACTGCAAGAGAATCAGACACAAACTCATCAGAGGCACTCAAATAAATAAATATACAGCAGGAAAAATAAGTATTGAACAAGCCAACATTTTTCTCAGTAAATATATTACTAGAGGTGCTAATGACATAAAATTTTCACCAGATGTCGGTAACAACCCAAGTGATCCATACATACAAAGAAATCAAACCATAAATGTCCAGAAATGAAGTTATTTGTAATAATGTGGAATGGCACAAACTTCTGAAGGTTCCAGTGAGCACTGTTGGGGCCATAATTCAGAAGTGGAAAGAACATTATTTCACCATAAAC